GTGAAAATGATGATATCACCAAAGAAAAAGAAGAAGATTGTTGCATCTCCAAGTAAAAAGAGTGACCGAATTAAGACACTGAAGACAAAGGATATAAAGGGGTCTGGAAGGGATCCAGATGACCCAGTTGTAATTCCTGAAGAAGAAACAACTATTGACAATGCTTGTGGGAAGAACAAATGGAGTGACATCAAGAAGAGCATGACTCAATGAAGACTCATGATTACACAAAACTGTTTTGGTTACACCTAGTGTCTTGTTATGTATTATGAACAAAACAAATGTTATGTACTATCACTCAAACAAATGTTATGTACTATGTACTATGTTTTGTTATGTATGAACCAATGAATTAATGGTATGTTTTGTATGTTGAATCTAATTACAGTTATATTATGAATCTAATTCCAAGCATTATGAATTCTATTCTGTTTTCCAAAGTTTTTTATATCAAAGTTTTGCAATTTATTTCAACAACATTCATACCAGACATTTCAGCCAATTACATAACCATAACAAACTACCTTGTACACAATTTATATCAAAGTTTTGTTATTTATTATAAAGTTTTGCAATTCATTACAATACACTTTTAAGCCAAGTACACAATCATAACAAAGTGCAAATTACTTGAAATTCATTACATAACACATTTCAGCCAAATACATGCCACAACTAAATACATTAAGCCAAATACACATTTCATTTCATTACAACCATAACAAACTGCCTTGTCCTCATTAAGCCAAATACACTACTCATTACAACCATAACAAAATGGTGCTGAAACATTAAGCCAAATTAACATTTGATTACAATACAAAACGATTCATCAATTATAATTGAAAACAAAATACACATTTATCAAAATGGACACAACAAGAAATATCATCTTCAATTTTCCATGGAATTCCTCATTTTTCAACTTGTTCTTCAATTTCTTCTTCTTCTTCCTTTCATCTTCATACAAGGACTTCATATAACCTAAAGATGCCAAGCCATGCAACTCTAAGTTCCTAATGACACCATCTTCATTTCCATATTTTTCACCAATATCTTCATCCCATATAAAGAGATTATAGGTTTCATAACTACTCCAATTAGGACATATCCAAAACAACATACCCTTGTTTGGTCCATTTTTGCATTGACACGATACCATCCGATAATGACATCCACAAAGCCTCCAAACTCGAGATTTCACTGAAGCAGACGACATCATGTTTTCTCTGAAGCAGATAAGTGTGAAAGAACAAAACAGTAGAAAGTGAACGAAGAGAACAGAACGGCAGAGGGTGAACGACCACGAAGACAATAATGGAAAATAGAGAATGAATGGAGAAAGGGGATGAAATTAAGGTTCACGAGAAAGGGGATGAAATTAGGGTACTACTTGAAACAATTGGGTTTATGCCACCTAATACCACCTCATTTAAAATGAAACAATAAAATTTACCCACCTGTCATGCGAGCTCAACAGCCGTTAATGATTTTTAACGTGGGGGACCAATTCCTCAGACAAAAAAATATTGCAGGGACCAAAACTTGAAGGAAAATATTTGAGGGACTAAAATCGAAATTTTGAAATTTTGGAGGGACTACAAACTTATTTAACCCATATTTATATGCACGCTGACAAATACTTATGCAAATTCTATCCTACCACTTAAGGCTATGGTAGATGTACTTTATGGTTTGGACAAATGAAAAGAACAATCATTTCAAAGTAAGGGTAAATTAGTAAAAGTGTTGTATTATTTTACTACATTATTGCATTTTTAATCTGTGTGCAATAACCTTAAACGACAATCATTTTGAAACAGAAGAAGTATAACATTTAATATCATGTGATTCTAGACACACATTTTATTGGGCTATTACGCAAATACTTTAGAATTTTGCACAACTCTACATGCCACCTACATGTGCAATTATCGTTTGCAGCTTCGAGAAATATGCCATCATTTGTTGCATTAATGAAGGAAAACACATTCGTATAATGATTTGCCATAGCTAAGGGGTGGACACTTGGACGCTTACTTGTCAGGTGGGACCGCAACTAATTATGCGCCTTCATTCAAGGGACTCGCCTACTATTTTATATGCCAAGGGAAAGAGCATCGCCCAACGTCATCCTCAATCAAGGGGATCATCAGCGGAGCAGGAGGCGTATGAAGAATAGAAAAACACAAGAAATGAAGTTTGAATTGAGTTTTTAAAAATTAAAACAATACGACACGTTGGTTATCCTGGTTCACTTTGAACTCAAAGCTACTCTAGTCCACCTTTCAAGGTGATTTCGCCTCTCTCAATCGAGGTCTTAATCCACTAATAAAAAATGATTACAATTCACGAAGACAACTATCAACGTCTTCTTGAGATCAAATCACAACTTAGTTTCTCAAGGAAATATAACTCTAAACAATTATACAATGTGTTTGAATTTGCTTCTAACAAACTATATCACAACTGTGATGTTTACACAAATTTTAGCACAATGAATGGTTTTAAGAGATAAAAAAATATGAAGATTTTTTAGCACTTGTTCATATGTGTGTGTATAACTTTATTTTTGGAAGGTTGTTGATTTGAGATATAATGACCTTTCCAAAAATGCAGATTTTGTTCCATGTAATGATGTTCCAGTCTTTACTTTCTTGATCCTTAATGATTTTCCATAAATATGATATCGGATCTACAGATCATCGGAGTATCTTGTACTTGAGTGCTTGATCTTATAACTTCAAAATAGATGAGTGTGTTGAACTTCATTGTTCTTTTAAAACTTTACTTATCAAAGTATAACTTGCAGCTTGATGCTTTCAGAAGATTTAACATCAGAATTTCTTTTACTAGCGTGTTACTTTGTTTTGCTTCTGAGTTTCTTATACGCATATTCCCTTTAGAGCTTCATAGTTGTATTCAGTCATTATCTTTTTTGTTTTTCATCAGAACTTCTCTGTATATCCAATCAAACGATTAGAGAGCATAATTGTTCTTCACAATAATCATGTAATTGTTATCATCAGAACTATGAATTAGATGTAGAACCAAACTATGTTCTACGCTTTTTTTTTCAGAAAAAAAATTGTATTTTTTTAATTTTTCAAAAAAAAATTCAATTTTTTTCCGACAAAAAATCTATTTTTTATCCAATTTTTTTTTTAATTTTTCAGAACAAAACATTATCAGTTTTTTTTTTTTCAAAATTAAACTTTTTATTTTCTGGAAATGTTTTTCTAGTTTTTTTTAAATAAATTTCTTTATTTTCTGAAAACAACAAAATTTAAAAAAAATATATTAAAAAATAATTTATATAATTAAATCAATTTAAAATTGAAATTAAATTATTTTAGTTAAATGGTTCAGTTTATTAGTCATTTAAGTGGTTCAATTTTTTTTTATAATTCAATACAATTAAGTTCAAACATACAATTCAATTAATTATATTTTGAACACCCAGCGATATTTTGAAAAAACAAAACAAAGAAAAAAATGAAAATATGTTTAAAAACATAGAAATTCATTAATATATGCATTAGAATAATCCCGTGATTCAATTTTTTTTACTTTTCATTAAACTTAATCACATATCAATAGAAGCTTGGGCGATAGATAAAGTGAAATTATAAAATGAGAAACAAAAAAAATAATTTTTTTTGGTAAATGTATATAATCAAAAGCAATTTTGGTATTATTATTATTATTAATAAATTTGAATTAACTTTAGATGTAATCAAATATTTTAGAGATGTGATATCTACTTTTTTTCATAATAGTAAGTGCATTCCTGATCCATTATATCAGTATTTCTTTCTGTTACTATCAGCTAAACAAATTTACAACAACGATTAAGTTTTATCTCACTAAACGGATCAAATTTAAGAAATAAATATCGAAATTTATGATGAAATCGTCCGATTATCTACACACCAATAACCCCCTTCATACAAAAACAATAGGACAGACAGACAGACACTAAAACAAAAACTCATGCACATAAAAGGGAAAAACAAAACATATCTTACTGTGTTACCCCTTTCCAATGCCCATAATTCCAAGAATCTAAAATGCTAAAAACTACCACTATATACATCCCAATAAACCATAAGATTCTGACTTTGGGTCGTGTTACAGTGAAAAGAACCAAAGAAAATTATTGCTATGTAATCATCATTCGATGTATATGTCATCTTACCTAGAAGGTTCAAAAGTGTTGTTAAAAAGGAAGGCAGCAATGGTGTAAAGCAAGAAGCCAAGAAGTAAGAAATAATTTCTTATAGAATAGAGTAGGGACGGCGAAAAACACACAGACAAGATAATTACTACCATTGCTGAGAATGTTATTCGTGTTTCTTGAATTTGAAAGGGACGTGTTTCTAGGAATGCATAGGTGCAGGTATGGTACTGGGTACGAGATATGGAAGATAAGAAAAATAGTTAACTCACTTCATTTGTCGGACGACCATAATCAACTGGATCTCTTCCGGTAATTCCTTCCAGTAGCAAAATACCAAAGCTATATACATCACTCTTCTCGTTTAGAAGGCCAGTATTTGCATATTCAGGAGCCACATATCTGAAATATTTAGAGAGAAAAAGCATATAAGAATTGGTTTGTCTAAAAAATAGTATTAACAATACTTAGCATAGAAATACCGACCCAAAGGTTCCCATAACTCGGGTTGTGACATGGCTCTTTCCGGCACCCAATAATTTGGCCAGACCAAAATCAGACACCTTAGCATTGAAATCATCGTTGATTAATATGTTGCTCGACTTGATATCTCGGTGTACCACCTTTGGCTCAATTGCTTCGTGCAAATACGCAAGCCTGAAACAAGTACATTGCTTTATACAAGGATTACTAAGAAAACAAAAGGTGTAGTTGCAGAGAGACTCACGCTTTGGCTGTGCCAAGGAGAACCTTGACACGTGCTTCCCACGTAAGATAGCCATGGTGACGCATAGCTCCGTGAAGCCATTGTTCCAAGTTTCCATTATTGACATACTCGTAGACTAATATCCTGAAAATACATTTGTTTTAATGAAGGTAAGCACATTAACGAAATAGCAAAGCAATTCATATTACGAATCATAATTACCATTTATGCTGTGAGCAATTAATTAATTTAGCTAAGCAGATTATTCATATTCATATATATGTCAAGATGATACTCAATACAGTCGAAGTAATTGAGAATAAGGATATACCTCGACGCAGAATCCCAAAAGGTGAACCAAGTTTTTGTGTCTGACATGGCCAATAGCTTCAACTTCTACTCTAAATTCTTTCTCTGCTTGACCACTGTTATACCAACAACAAAATCACAATGGAAAGTTGAGCTTCAGCATAATAATAAGGGAACGCAAAAGCACTTATCATAAAATTACTTACGTATAAGCTATTTCATTAACAAAAACTAAAATTTAGTCAAAATGTTTTCTTAAACTACTTTGGAGTACAAAATAAGTTGAAAGAAACTTATGATCATGTCCATAAGCTCTTACAAGCAGTCTCACAAGTGCTTATGTTAGCAGATAAACTCAAATAAGTGAACTCGAAAAACTTCGAAGAAGAAAAGAATTACGGTGGTTCAGCATTATAATGGAACTTACATATTATTGAGTATCTTTTTAACTGCAACTGGACTCCCATTGATCAAATGTCCCTTATATACCACTCCATAACCCCCTTCACCGAGAACATTTTCTTTCGCGAAACGGCTTGTAGCAAGTTCAAGATCCCTCAAAGTAAACCAATGACCCCAACCTAGGTGCGAGAATTCCGGAAGACCAGATAGAGGCGAAGGAGTTGTTATAGGATACGAAGAAGACGACTGCTTATACACAGTAACCGTCCCAGAACTACCCTCTTCACCGGATTGCGAATGCGACCCACCACCATCTTTCTCCATGAACTGATGAAACGACTCCAAATGACTACTACTATCACCATTCTTCATCTTCTTCCCTAAATCTAAATGAACCATAACCTTATCAGATTCCTTATCACTAGAATTATCATGAATGGTTAAAAGTATTCCATCTCGCGGCGCAAATCCATTCGTCGACACTTGCTCAACCATAACTTCCTTAATTTCTTTCGACACATTCGGTATCTCAGTAACAGGAATCTTGTTTCTAGCTCTCCTAGATTTCTTCCTTGAACTAAGACAAATTGAAACCACATACAGAATCACTATAATTGACAAAGCAACAACAATTGCAATCACTTCCCAAGCCTTTACACCAAAAACAGTCTTCTTAGACAATTCAGGATTCAAATTAGCACCCATTTCTCAAAGATAATACCAAACCTACTAAACATACAATAATCAATTAATAACTAATTCATAAAACACAATAATTAAAAAAAAAAAAAAACTAACCTCAACTGAAAAACCTTGAAATTCCAGATCTCAGAAACAGCAGTTTCATAAGTGAAGAGACACAAACATAGGAAGAAACAAAAACAAAAACGGTTATAGATCTTTAAGAGAGCATAAATCTAGGAAGTTGTCAGAAAAAAACAAGAGTATCTATACGAGGAGTTGAAAATGTGAGTGGTTATGAATGAATGAATCTAAGATAAGATGGAGCTATCTATGTAAAGAAGAACAAAAACTGTGATGAAGAAGATGAAAAGGTAGAAGAAGAAAAAGAAGAAGAAACGATGGAGTTATCAGTGGTTGGTAATAGATACAACCTTACAACGCATGAATATATGTGTATATAAACAAACAAAAACATAAATTTCATAAATTCAATTCTGTAATGTAATTGTAAGGTAGTAGTAATAAGGTTCTTGGGATTTTTCTTAGAGCTTGATATGAATGTGACGTAATTAATTATTTTTTTCCTTTTTGATTTGATGATGGGGTGAGAGGTGAGCTGTGAAATTATTATTACTATCTATCAACTGAACTGGAAGGAAAAAAAGTACTGTGTGTGTATGTATGTAATGTTGTGTTGTTCCTTGAAACTCTAGAGACGGTATCTATGTGTGTTGTCACGTGTGAGGTTGTTTTTTTATGATAAATTTGCCTAATCATGCTTAGCTGTCGTGTTAGTAGACTAATTGGGGAAGTAATAATGGTGAAAGTTTAATGTATTTTTATAAAAATAGAGTTTTATTTATGTAAAAGGATACTGTGGGAAAAAATATAGTTGTTGAATCTTAAGTATGTGTTGTTTTGTTATTTTATATTTGTTAAAAGAATTTAATTTTAGAATTTTAATGTAATTTGTAGGTAAATTAGATGAGATTAATTCATATGCTTTGTTATACCATCATATCGCAATCATTAACAACCGTTATTCTTTAAATAATTAAAATAAAAATTAAATATTATTAAAATTTTAACGGTTATGATTAACCGACCTTATAAAATTTATTTAGACTATTAAATTCAAATTACATAAACATCCAACTTTCATTTTCATAAATATAAATAGAAATATGTTAGTGTGGGACACCATATATTTATACAATATATACTATTTTATTATTTTGTAATTTTGTAATTTTTTTTCACATGTCACATTAATAGTTATAAATGATGTGTCTTTTTATACGTTATTAAAATACAATGTCAATTTTTAGATGTTCAAATAACATTAATCATACACGACTATAATGTAAGGACAACAATTCTCTTTAAATTATATTAATTGTTTTAGTTTAGACAATATTGATATAAGTCTTTAGATTTATTTTATAAAAGATTAATTGTCGATTATGAAACAAAAGTGACAAATAGAAACAATATCTGATTGTCGGGACACATTTTTTCATGTTTGGCATTTTTATTTAAAATGGTTTTAAGGGTTGTTGTTCCATAGTTTAAGCGGAGCAAAAAATACTCGAGCGTACAAATGCTCGTAATACAACAAAGTCGTTACCAAAGTTTATTTTTGAAAGGGAAAATGTCAATAAAATACTAAAAGAATAAAAATATGATTGTCGCAACCAAATTCAAGTTTTTGAGTCAATTATGTGCAAGGAAGGTATTAGTACTCCACACATCTATTGTAGTCAACGAGAACTATTTAGTTAGTTTTGTGAATAAATAAGAGGGTATGGGTAAGTAAAACAAGGGGAGAGGCCCATATCTGGAGGCTCAATGAATCCAAGGTCAAATGGGAAAGGTTAACTCATGCAGAGCCACCAATTTTGCATACTAGGGAGTCAACGCATGATCAGGGGCCAGGGATCCAAGGGCACAGGAGATGACATGTGTCCCTCAGTATAGTGCTTCGCACATGAATAAAAAATGGGATCAAACGAAATCCTCTCATTTTTCAAAGATATTTCTCTCTCCTTAGTCAGGTGCTCTTCCTCCTCTAACATGTGAACACCCACCCCTCCCACTTTCACTACTAAAAATATGACATTTGAGAAAAGGTCTTTATATCAAGTATAAAAATATATGATATAAAAAATATTTGTCAAAAGATTTTACATCAGACCTTTATTTCCAATGATATGAAAAATATTTGATTTAGGGAAAAATATAACACGATGGTAGTTTGGTAAATAAGATGGATAACTAAAAAATTGGATGTTACATCGGGTTAATGTCCCAAGCGATATAAAAGCTTCCAGTGATAAAAAATAAAAACACGGTGATTTTTTTGTAAATAAGGTGGATTTTTTTTATAAAATAAAAAATTGGACGTTACATTGGTTTATTGTCCCAACCGATGTAAAAGCTTTCAGTAATAAAAAACAAAAAAACGGTGAAAGTTTTGTAAATAAGGTGAATTTTTTATTGGTCGTTACATCGGGCCAACTGGCCAACCGATGTAAAAACCTCCTCTTATTTTCATAAAACCCTAATCCTAATATTTTGTCCTTTCACTTTTACATTCTCTCAAACCTTCTCTCTCGCCTTTGTCTTTGTCTCCTTACGAACTCCATCTTTTTCACCTCCATCTCCGCCTTGCATTCGTAAGCCCTCAGAACCACCTTCGGTGCAGCTCATCTCGACTGGATGTGACTTCTCTAGCGGCTTCTCCAGCGAATAACTCTGTCACCACCGTTTCTTTCGTTCTATTTCAAAACCCAAACTAACACTCTCTCAGAGCCACACACAGAGAAATAATTAGAGAAAGAGAGATATGTGTGATAGATCAGAGCTCTTTGTTCATTGGTGCGTAATCGTATATACTATTTTGTCATTTCTTCTCATTTTATTTTTTTCATTCTCATTTCTATGTTTATTTGGTCTCGATTCACTTCATTTTCTTTTTTCTTCTTTGTTCAACAATTTTTCATAGATTCAGTTTAATTTTTCATATATTCAATTTAATTTTTCAATAATTTTTGCATGAATAGAAGTGTTTTTAGCGTTACTATGAATCGGTGATTCGTATTTTTGTTGATTTTATATAAATTAGTAGGATTGAGCTTATAATGCAGTGATTTGAAAGTTCTATGAGTTTTGAATTTTGTTGGAATATGATTTTGATGATATTGAAATTGTGAAGTGGTACTATATTTTATAGGTTAATCGTGCCGACATTTTGCGTTTTGGGGTGCTTGAAGTATTTCCAACTAGTTTTGCTTTGGTAGACGACACTTATGTGTGTGTATGTAGGATTAGGATGAGAGTATTTTTAGAGCTTCATTGGCTCTGATACCTAGTTGTTACTGCACCGAATACCTGAAAAAACAAAGAAAAGAAGAAATAGTAAAACATGTGAGGTATCATAATTTTTGTAGGAAGAGTAGTTGTTGTTAGATGATTGTTTTGTGTGTGTGTGTGTAGTACTTGCTTAAATGACAGTGGGCTTTGGGTTTGGATAGAACATGATTCTTTAAGATTTTAATGTCTGCTTTCTTCCATGTTTCCTGTTTTCACTTTCACTAATTTCCATTCCATATTTTCTTTGTCACAATTGCTTGTTAAACGAGTCTTCCATCTCTTTGTTAGTAAGTTAACATGAAAATGGATTTTTAAGTCTCACAAAGCTTTGTTAATTTGGTTTGACCTATTCTAAAAACTCATGGTTGCCTGGGTTATTTTAATTATTGTGTTTGTATAACATAATAAAATGCTTTCCAATCATAATGGAGACGGTTATTGGCCTTAACATATGTATTTAGCTGAGGATGATCCCCCCATCAATATTAACCGGATGAATGATTTCATCTTTGCAATCACATACATATTTAGTATTTATCATGCTTTTATTAAATTGTTCAGATAGAATGAAAATGAGGGAATTAGTTTTGTTATCTGGGTTACGAAGAAAGTTTGCCCATAGATACTAGATACCATTCAAAATCAAACATCATAGAATCCTTTGACTTATGTAGGTGACCCTAGTTACAAATTATATATATATATATATATATATATATATATATATATATATATATATATATATATATATATATATATATATATATATATATATATATATATATATATATATATATATATATATATATATATATATATATATATATATATATATATATATATATATATATATATATATATATATATGATTTGATGTTATTATTTATTGTCAGCAAATGTGATTTTTGTGTTGTCTATTGAAGCTACAACTCATCTACTTGTGGATTTCATATTGGTAATTCAAGTGTGGGAAAAGACTTATAAATGGTTGGATATTTTTGTATTTTTGTTATTGTAGTGCATCGTGTAAACTTCCTTATAATTTTATAATACAATTGTTCATGTTGTAACTCAATTATTTATTTTGAAGAATATAGTGCATCATAGATTTGGTGGAATGAAATTAGTTTGGTTAAAAAATATGAAAATAGCTACCTAAATATAGTCTGTGTAATGTTGGGAAAATATGAAAAATTAGGTACCAAAAAAATTACAGGGAATCCGCTGAAAAATAGTCAATTTTTTCCTAAAAATTACAAACATTTTACATCGGACAATTAAGGCAACTGATGTAAAACACATCTTTTACATCAGACCAATATGGCCACCTATGTAAAAACATATCTTTTATATCGGACCTAACTTATAATCGATGTAAAATATTGCGTATATTTTATTAAAAAAAAGTTGTATCTTTTTCACATCAGACCTAACTTATAATCGATACTACATACTCAGTTATTTCTGACAGACAGAATCCCCCTCAAGAAAAAGAATCAAAATCGAAGGCCCTCTCACCTGTTTGCCACTTTGTTTTCAACTGTTCCCACCTCTTGGGCGAGACAAGCTACCTTCTTAGGTAAGAGGGGGGGGTAGACTGTTAAGTGTATCCCCTCATGACCACTTTCAAACGTCATAGCAAGCCCGGA